AACATTCATAGACGTTCGTGGCGATATCAAGCGCGGCTCCAAGCTCGTCTGAATCACATCACAAAAGCTTATTGACAGCGCTTCATATGACCGTGAGATGCGCGGCCGCGTGGACAGTGCAGCCGGCGCGTAATGCACTTGCCGGTGGCGTTCGATGATGCGCGAAATGTGCAGTGCAGCCGGCGCGTAATGCACTTGCCGGTGGCATTCGATGACGATGCGCGAAATGTGCAACTACGAAGACAAAAAATCAGCACGCAAATCAGCACCTGGCATCGCATTTTCGAAGACGATGCGCGAAACTGCTAGCCGCTGTTCCGAGCGATCCTTGGCAGTGAAGGGGGGGGGGGGGGGTGACAAGCTTAACTGTGTTGTCCGCTGCCGATGCGTAAAATGCCCATACGCGATTCAGAGGAGCTAGCGAGTGATGTGGTACATTCCTTGCGAAGAAGCACGTCGCCAAGAGTGCGCTTGCGCGTCGTTCCTGCCCGCAGTCTCGCTGTCAGCGGAGTTAGGCCTAAAGCCGACTCCGATGACGCGCCGCACTCGTAGACCGCCACGCGCCGCTCCTAGTAATCTGATCGTGCATCCGGTGCGGCCACTCGTAGTAATCAGATCGTTCCGCCGCTTACAGCTTCGTTGCTTGCGAAGAAGCACGTCGCCACGAATACACTAGCGCGTCGTTCCTACCCGCAGTCTCGATGTCGGCGGAGTTAGGGCTAAAGACGACTCCGATGACGTGCGGCGCTCGTAGTAACCTGATTGCACATCCGCTTACTGCTCGTAACTAAAGCGTAGTTATATCTTAAGTGATTATCAACCCGTGAACACGTCACGAAGTGGCGATTTTCGAGAGCCATGTCCTCGCGACGCACAAGCAGCAGACGACGATCTCCCGGAGCGAGCATCAGGCCAATGGCGAGGCGAGTTGAGGCAACATGGCGGCCAGGTCCAATCAAGGGCCTCAAAACGACCTTCAAACATTTGCTTTTTGCTCGCTCGTTGTTAAGGGGGGACGCACCCTTTGAAAACCGAAAAATCGCAAAAAAGTCGATTTTTTGAAAACCACATACTCGGGCAGTATGACTCATAAACTGCCTCTACTGTAAATATCAATGTCTAATTCATCGCGAAAGTACGTCACATAAATTTTATAACATGCCGCGGCAGCCGGCAAGCGGCGAGCGAGCGCCAAAAATACCCCAACTTCGCGCGCTCGCCATTTCCCAACCGCTCGGCCGATCGCCGCCATCTTGATGTTGTTTTGCTCGTGAATTCTTGCGCTTTTTTTTTTTTGCCACCCGCGGCAGTGGCGGTGGCGCTTCGAGGCGGGAGTCGCTCACGATTGGGGGGCTCGCGGAAGCTTTCGAATGTCCCGCTGCCTGGATGCGAAGCCGCGATTGGACAAAACGCGCGCCTCTCGAGGGAATGGGGGAACGCGCGGCTCCTATTGGCTGCTGCGCGCGATGACGAAGCTGCTTCTCCGGCATGCGCCGGCTCGTCGTCTGCACCGGCGCTTGCAATGCCGGCGTTCTTTGTGTGCCCCGTTTGCCATCATTCCGATCGGTCGTCACACGTGCTGCTCTATCTTTCACCGTCTTCACGAGACGATCTTCTACCGTCTTCACGAGACGATCTTCTACCGTCTTTACGAGACGATCACTACCGTCCTCACGAGACGATCTTCCGCCGTGTTCACGGGACGCGGATTGTTGCGCTGACGGTCACGATGGGCATTTCGAAGTTCAAGACTCGGCACGCGTTTGGTTCAAGAAAGCGTCAGCTGAAGCTCGTACGCATGGCGAAGCTCACCTGCACGCCCACGCGCGGCGACAGTTGCACCAATGCTTCCGCTTCATCTTTTCAAGACGATTGCGTCGACGCTTCTAGCGACGAGACTTCTACACCATCGGCACAAGGATCCGTCGTGACGAGTGAGGCTGGTGTTTCGAGCTCAAGTGCGCCTGGTGTGTCGCGCTCGCCAACCGCATTGATTCCGGCCCCGAACAGTGAGACCGCGTCGTCGACTGTGCACTTCCAAACACGTTTTCGGACGTGCGAGGAGTTGGCGACGGCAGAGAGAGAACGTGCTGCTGTGCAACGACAGCTTGGCGCTATGCCAGCGACCGAGAGGAAGTTTCAAGCGATGATGCCTGAACCCGAAGCTGCCACCGCTACGACCGAAGGCGAGAGATATTTCCTCGTGCAAGGGGATGCCCTTAGCGACATGCTGTCCAAGACCCCGTGCCCGCGCTGCCTCGCGACCGGGATGAAAGTTCAAGGAGGCACCCAGCTTGGACTTGCCACGAAGCTTGAGCTGGTATGTCCACATTGTGGAATAGTTTCAAGTTCGTGGAGCTGCGAGAAAGACTCTCTGCGTCTGAGAAAGGCTCAGAAACGGATGAATGAGAAGCAGGAAAAGCGGCAAAGAAAAGGAGAGCCTAAGGACACATCTAGCTACTCTGCAGGGTCATTTTAGACCATAATAAATGTTTGAAACTTTCGAAGTCAATTTTCTCAGAATGACTTTTTTGGCCAGTGAGGCTGCTTAGTCAGGTGATCTCTCTGGAACTGCTGGTCTGATTTCTATCAGGTTTTTTTTATTATGCACCTTAATAAATTGCCCAGGGCAAGACAAGCCCGCTTTTTCAATTTATTGTGTCTGTTGTAATTTGTAATAATTAATTAAAACTTCATTGATGAGAGCCAAATTGTGAAGACTAAATTCAGTGCTCTGCTAACATTTTTTGGCAAGGAAATTTAAAAAAGGGGCTCTGTCTTGCCCTAAACCACCTATCCAGGAATCATCATAGTGAATTTCACAGTGCTAGCACATTTTTCAAATTCTCCAGACCCTGACTAAGGGACCCATGTGGACTACCCTGATAAATGGCTGTAACTTGGGAACCAGTGAACATAACTGCATGAAACTTTGTGGTTATTCAAATGGCTTTGCTATTAGTGTACCCTGAAAACTTCATTAAGATATCTCAACAAACAAAAAAGTTGCCCTTCGAAGGTAGCCTCCCCCCTTAAAGGGAGTAGCCAGCTGAGGTGAGAAAGTTAAACACGGAGAAATGCTCTTTCCGATGAGCCCAAGAAGCCGGCTCCCGGCCCAAGCATCGCGAAGCTATAATTTGTTGAAAATCGCCGTTTTCTCGCCATTTCCAGAAAACTTTTTGCTACCTAGGTGGGTGAAACGAATTTTCCGAAGAACTTCTGCGCGGTTTTCAGTGTAGATATTTTGGAACCAGATAGAAAAAGGGTTCCAGAAACTGAAAACTTCAGTTTCAAAAAATCTATTTTTTTGCCATTTTTCGCGATCCTAAAGCCGCGTCCCCCTTAACTACTTCCTGACATGCTCACACTCGTCCTGTGTGCATGGCTTAACCATCTCTTGGAGTGTAATTGCACTTTAGTTTGGCACCTGCAAACAGAACCTCAATGATCAGATTACAAAAGCACACGGTGCTCATCGTGAACATCGCAGACTCGTGTTTCGGCAACGAGAGGTTCTGTTTATCGGCACTACAGACTGATGAAGACCATCGCAGAATGGCTTTTCGTATTCGCGATTCAGCCCGTGGTACTTTGAAACATCAGCTATCGCGACCATGCACACCAGAAATGAGCTCATCACTGAGCTAATTAGGCTTTGCTCTGCTCATGACGCCATTGCACAACATGAATCCAAACTTTGCGAACAGGACATCATGCTAGCAGACTAGCAAAAGCAGAGAAGCTGCAATGTGCTTCTTCGCAAGCACCAAATCGCATCACCGGTTGGCTCCTCGGAACCACGGATGGGCATTTTACGCATCGATAATGAATCTCCCAGACAAGTTCACCACGCAGCGGTCGCTCAGAACAGTGGTGGAAGCAGCTAGGAGTTTCGCATGTTGGCATCCCAAAACATGTGATCAAGCACACTGCATGTGATTTCCCATCATTATAAACCATTTATTTATTTTCCAAAAGTCATAATCGATGAAGTTTCTGTGCAAATGTAATCGAATGACAAAAACTACAGTAAAACCTCATTTATCCGGACCTCGTTAACTCGAAAATTCGGTTAACTCAGACTCGTGGCGCGGTCCCGGCAAAACTGTGTATATTTCAATGAGGTCAAATTTTCATTATTTCAGTGAGGTTTAGCCACGCACCGGTTATCTCGGACAACTCCGGAGAGGGCTATCGGGACTCCAGAGTCACGCGATCTCCGCGGCTTGGAGGGTCAAGCACCACCTGCTGTAACCGACGGCAGAACCAGAGTTTTGGAGAAACTGAAACCGAGCAAACTGCAGCAGAATATGACGATGATGATAGTGAATGAAGGGGAAGTGGCTAGGCGACGCTAGTCACCACCCGGCGGAAGCACTTGAGCCACCGGCACATCCAGTGTCTACTAACAGCTGCTCGCTACGTCCATGCTACGCCTACTGGTGCACTACTTCGTGTCTTGGTTCTTTGTGTTGTGACTTCACGTGTTGCGGCTGTATTTGTGCGCGTTGTCGCCGCCGTCGCGCTTCATGATGACTGTCACAGGAGTTAAGCGGCCACAGCAGCCAGCAAATGATCTTGAAAGAAAGGTTATGATATCGAAAGACATGATGAGCCGACGCGACGTCACCGCACCGTGCAGCAGGCCACCGAAGCCCTCGCTGTCCTCGAGGGGTTCTGCGTTTGTTCTCGCGACAGTGAACGTGCGCACCACCACCTGATGGGATTAAATAAGATCGTTCTGTCAGAAATTCCGACGGCGAGGCAGGCAAAAATAATGCACTTTTTTTAAAAAATAAAGGTTTGTCTGTGCCATGTACGTTTTCCTTTTGTTTTCATAATTCGTTTGATGATTTGGAATTCGGTTAACTCGGACATTTTCTCCGGTCCCGTGAGATCTGAGTTAACGAGCTTTTAACTCGCTCAAACTCAGACTCCCAGCCTGATAAGAGTCTGAGTCAAAAAATGAATGATTTTGTCAAACTATGTCTGCTGCTCACCAGTCAATTGTTTTTCCTGTCTGGAGCCACTGCTTCAAGAGGTACTCATAGTAGCTGTCAGCACGAGCCCCCAAGGTCAGTGTAGAATCTGCATTGAAGTGGCCCGTCTCCGCATTGATGAACATGGGTACCAGGCCTTCCTTTTTAGGCAACTGGTGCAACAGCTCAGAGACAGCAAAAGCCTTCTTCTGCAAAATAAATGTTACCACAGTGATGTGTAGTGAACTAATACATACATATTTTACAACACATGTGTTTAGTGTTCTATAAATGCATGACTGGAGGATTCCTGCCATAACCTTGGCCTTTACACATGACAAGTCAAATTTTAACAATGACGTAAAAGTATGGTGTACAGGGAGAGATGTAAATCCATATACAAATGAAAGGTGAAACGAACAAGGAACCAAAGAAAGTGGAGGACATAGGCACAAGCTGTACACTGGGTTAATAAACAAAACAACAAGGATAAATATATAAAGCACAACCAAAATCTTTGGCTCCAGACAGACAAATTTAGGTCATGCACTGACACACAAGGCCTCAGTTCAACGCCTCCTAGAAAAACTATGCCTGAAACGCAGCTCTCTTTTCGATTGAGAGCTTGATGCCAGCACAAAATCTTTAAGGCCATGCCTCCTACCGCGTGTTGCGATCGTCCGGAACACGCGACCGCTCTGTCACGTGGCATCACCGTACCGCTCTGTCACGTGACACTGTGTCACATTACCGCTCTGTCACGTGACATCACAGCTGCTCGGAGGCAACTGTAAAAGCATTGCTGTGTTCGCAGGGGACGACCGCCACAGGCGTGCGCCTCCATACTGGAGGGGGAGGGTAAAATCCCAGGGTAGGGCGGCGCGTTAGCGGCTCACGTTCTAGACGTAATTTATCTAGGAGACGCTCAATTAAACCCAGTTGTCAGATTGCACCCGTGTCATCTGCTCCTTATGGTGCCTTGTTTCTTGCACCCTTCATTTTAGTAAGCCATGGTACTATACTGCACATAGTTGAGGGTAACAATTTTGTAATGATATAGTACATGGTGCAGTATGAAGTCTGCAAATGAAAAAAAATGCCTCCCTTATGACACCGCTGAACAAATAATTTGATTGAACGAACCAAAGCAGGGATCTAGACATTGTAACAAGGTTTTTGTCATACATGTCATCTTTTTTTACTAGTCACGTATTGACAATCAAGAACATTGGCAAACATTTAGTTTTGCTACAAAGAGTTCAACTTTTAGTATAATGATTGTTTTCTATAAATAAGCCTCCACCTCTTACTATAACCACAATACAGTCAAGCCCATATATATAACGATACAACTTAGAACGAACTTTTAGGTGTTAGTAAAGCTTGCAGTGCTGATTTCATAACTGCAATTATTTTTCTGATAGCTATAGTAGTTCCGGAGTTACTATAACTTTGATATCAAAAGATAGGGTTTTTTGTGCACATAAAGCTTACTAAAAATTTTCACACAGAATTGCAAAATGGGTCATTCTGCTGCACTTGAGCAGTACAATACAGAAAAGTACCTCAAGTGGAAATTTATTTGCTACATTTAAAGAAACTTAAAAGTACTAAATGCATATATTACATCTCTCTATCAGTGTATCAAGTTGCGTATAAAAAAAATCTGATGTATATTGCAACCTGAAGTAGCTACTTGTATTCTAGAGTGGCTGATTTAGCTCCGTGCAAAATTTCATCAAGATAGGACTATTTTAAGTGTAAAAAAGATTGTGCAAAAGATGAGAGAATTGCCTCAAGATGGAAATAGAGAAAAATACGATTGAAAGTTATAAATATGTTTACTCATGATTACACAGTGCGATTTGCACAAAACTTGGCGAGATCATAGAAGGGACACAACTAGAGCACCTAAAATTGTCCTGCTCCATATGTGGATCCTTCTCGCCGCTTGAGAAGGGAGTCATCAAGGCGCGCTTTCTTCGCCACGTTCCGCTGATGAGCCCTTGCCTCAGATATTTCATACACAGACATTCCTTCTTTCGATTCTCCTTTGATGGCGGGATTGGCCCAGGGTGATCAGTTGATCTGGTGGCACTGCACCAAGCTCCTCTAGCACGTGTTCAAAGCTTGAATGTCCTTTATTGAACCACAGCACGGCCATAGCAGCTGCAGTTTCCACTGTTGTCCGGGAAGCAAACTTAGTCTTCGGACACAACAACCAGAATTTGCTGTTCAAAGATTCTGGAGCGTTTTGAATCTTCCCTTGAATACAACGCACCAGCAACCTTTCATCTGTGAGGCACTTGTAAATGGGAAGCACAGCCAATCCTTGAGCCTTGGTCAAGATTGGTGTGTGGTCGAGTGGGGCCTCCCCAAGCACTTCCGCTCGCCTATGCTTGCACGAAGTCGCCCCTTCTGGACAGTATCGGTGGCTGCCTGCTGTGTTGCTCGATGATGACTGGAAATATGACGCCCAGATGGCACGATGCATTTTCAGAATATCACCTCTGTTGTTTGTGATTGCAATATGGTAATAGTTCTGCAGCTTCTGAATTGTGTCATCTGTCAGCTTTTCTACTCCTAGAAGTCGTGTTGGCAGCTTCGAAATGCGGGGACTAGACGCTTGGCCACATGGTTTGTGCACTCCTCCTTGTCCACAACAACTTCACCATATACCTTGGCCTCAGCGCAGTATAAGCGTTGCTGTCCCCATCACTGAGGAACTTGGTGAAGCGCAATGGTGTTGTGTATGAGGATGTCCTGCCCCATATGCGCAGAGCTGCCTCAGTTTCCATGGTATGAGAGGAGCACTCTGTATTTTTTTCGCAGACAGGTGTGTGGAATGCTTGCCACGTTTCTTTTTCATCACCCAAGTCCTAGTGCCGGCTACAGGCAAGCAGTAATTCGATAGCACTTCAAAATCTAGGCACAAACCAGTGTCCACAGACACAGCAGTACCGATGCCATTGTGGCTCTTGTGCCCTCTTTTTTGCCATGTGCCATGATACATGACAGCAACATCAGCCCCATCCACTTTCTCTTTAGTTATCATCCGCGCCTTCGCCAGGTTTTCTTGCACAGCTTCAGTAGCTGCAGCATGAACTTTTTTGCCGATTGCAATAAAAGTCTTATGATGCATAGGTATTGGCAGTTCAACAATAGCGCAAAAACGCGACAGCTGGACATTTAAGGACGGGCTGTTCGATATTTCGGACTTTCCAAGCATCAGTCGAGCCGACCCCCATCATTTTTCGCGCCGCCGCGATCTTGCTCGTTTACTTTTTTCATCCAGTAACCTCAAACCAGTGCTGGTCGTGCGCGTGGCGTCCGCCAGCCTCTGCTAGGATGGCTACCTCGAAGTGCTGGATCGGGGCTATTTCCGCATCAGCGTCGCTGCCGAACAATATTTCTTTCTTCTCTGCTGTGACCGTTGGATGGACAGGACCGAATCGACTGACTGTGCGTGTGCTATGTGTGTTGCCTAGCTACAAGTGCTGATTCAGAATGGATAAGGGATTGCCGATGTCGTCAACCTCGAGAGCTCTGATGAAGCACGGAAAGTATGTCACCATGTTGATGGCGAAAAAAGCTGCCATCATCAAGCTCGTTGACAGTGGCCGATCGCGGGCAGACGTTGCGAAAGAGTTCCATATTTCTAAACAGACTGTTTCGGACTACATCGAAAATAAGCAGAAGATTTTGGAGGCGGCAGAAAAGTCTACTGGATGTCGTCAGAAGAATGTCAGCCAAGGCACTTACCCTAAGCTCGAGGGGGCCCTTCTCGTTTGGCTGAAGCCGACAGTGGCCAGCAAGGTTCCCGTCTCCAGGAGCCTCCTCAAACAGAATGCTGAGACAATGGCGCTTCAAATGAACATTGAAGGATTTAAGTTCAGTGACGGCTGGCTAAGAAACTTCAAGAAGCGCTTTGATCTCAGTTTTAAAAAACTGTGCGACGAAAGTGCAGCTGTTGACCTCAGCGTTGCTGCGGATTACCACTCTGAAAAGCTGCAGTCCCTTTTACAAGAGTACTCACCAGATGATACTTTCAACTGTGACAAGACCGGGCTTTTTTTTCAAGCTGATGCCAGAAAAGACACTTGCCTTGGCTGGCGACCCTTGCCATGGTGGCAAACACAGTAAGGAGTGAGTTACTGTACTGATCGGTAGCAACATGTAGGGCAAAGAAAAACTGCCGATGCTCGTCATCGGCAAGTCGAAAGCTCCAAGGTGCTTCAAAGGCGTAAAGTCTTTGCCTGTTTCGTACGAGGCCAACAAAAAGGCCCGGGCAACTCAGCAGCTTTTTGAAAGCTATGCGAGAAGACTGGACCGCAAATTTGATTTAGAAGGCCGCAAAATTTTGTTGTTTGTCGACAACTGCGCTGCACACGGGCACATTACCAATTTGAAGGCAGTGCGCGTCGAGTTCTTGCCACCGAACACGACAAGTGTCCTACAACTGATAGACCAGGGTGTCATACGCACTCTCAAAGTGAACTATCGATCACGCTTGCTTTTGCGTGCGGTGATGTGCCTCGACAGCGGAAAAGCATACTCAGTCAATTTGCTTGGGGCCCTTAGCATGCTCGCCGATGCGTGGAAGTCGATGACATCGACAACGATGCACAACTGTTTTCCGCCACGCGGGATTTGTGTTGAATGGCGAGTCGGCCGCCTTGGACGAGGACAGCGTCGTCGACCACGTGTTGGGAAGTGAGCAGCTTATCGACGACCTTCGCACTGCGGGCGTTGATATTCCATCAGATGTCTCGTTTTCCAAGTTTGCGTGTGTGGACAACAATTTGGAACTGTGCGCTGGCCTCACGGATGAGGAAATCATTCGGCAAGTGCTTGCGGAGTCCGAGAGTGACAATGACTTACCTGCAACAGCACAGCCGATGCAAGCCGAGCTGATGCAAGCGATCGCAACCCTTTCGTCAGCGTACAGCGACACGGCAACTCTAGCCGAAATGCGGGCGGACGTGCTCGCACGGAAGCGAAACGTGGTCCAGAAGAGGATCCATCACTTTTTCTGCTCAATCTCAATAGTAACCAATAAAATGAGAATTTTTGGGGCACATTTGCTTTTTCGGACTGCCCAATTTTTCGGACATTTTCGCGGTCCCTTGAGAGTCCGAAAAATCTGTCGCCGACTGTACCTTCACATTGACGGCGAAGCTGTCGCGCGAGCTGCCGCTTCGGTAGCTCC